CTTCGGTTTCCCCATCTGCAAGCAAACGAGGCGTTGCTCATGCCTCGGCTTCGTGCTGCAGCCCGGCTTGCGTGCCGGCATCCCGGCAGAGCTGATGGAAGCCTCGGGTGACGGGCGTGCAGCCGGGCGTACCGCTCCGCCATGGTCCATGGGCGAAAGGTGCGAGCGAGGCTGGATGTGCTGCACGGGCTTCAGGTTTCTGTGCACGCCACGGTCGTTTATCACTTTTACGTGAGGTTAAGACTTTCCTGGCATGGGAAAGAAGTTTGATGTTGTTTTGCTTCCCCTGTTTAAAGGGAAAGCAGAGAGTTGCACCGGCGAACGGCCTGTTCAAGTCGAGGAGGTGATGCCCATTTACACCAGCTGAGCATCCAGCCCCGTGCATGTACTCTGGCCAGAGGAGAAACAGATTTTCCCTTCACACATTTTTGTGGTTTCAGACAAACTGTCAGAAAAGGGCATGTTCAACCTCACTCTGCTTGAAAGAAAAATCGATCCAAATTTCCCAGCTCCCATTAAATTTGCTTTGTAATGAAGAGCTGGGAAAAGTGATGGCACCGCACAAATAAGCCCCAGAAATCTAGTGCCCTAGTTTTGAAAGAACACAGACAGGTTAAAAATAATCCACTTATATAGCTTCAATTTCCTCACCAGCATACCTAAATCAAACCCTGATTTTGAAACTGGGTGTACGTGTACATGTGAGTAGTTCCAGCGCCTGTAATACACACCTACGAGCCTTTTCCAGGCCTTAGTACCTATTTTAGAAAGCGGAAATTTTTGTCTCTAATGGCTCTAATTTCCTGCATGTTTTTTTTTCCTTTGTGCATTCCGCTGGGTGTAAAGATCCTGAGGTCTGCTCCTCTTTCTGAGTCCCAAGCAATGGCACAGGCTTTGGTGTTTGCACCTCCAGCACAGGTGTTGCTTTCCCCTTGCACAGAGAAATACTCGGTTTATGCTCATGTCCATGCTCAAATGGAGCTCAAGGCTGGTGTGAGGTCAACTGGACTGCCACTGATTTACCTGTCCTCTCTGTCCTCCTCTGGGACAAACAAGTTGGTAATAAGTTGGGACAAACTCTTTAGGCTGAGATTTTTTTCAAAGCTGATGACTAAAGATCAGTAAGGATCTCAACTTCTGTGTGCTTCTCCATCTGGGGTGAGTGGTACCCTAAGAATTGAAGAGGAAAAGAAGAAAGGAAAAGGAAAAGAAAGGAAAATAAAAGGGGGAGGGGGGAAAGAAAAAAAGAAAAAGAAAAAAAGAAGAAGAAAGAAGAAAAGAAGAAGAGAAGCAAAGCAAAGAGAGGAGAAAACCAGAAAACAGTGGAGAGTAACAAGCTGGGTTACACTGCTGGGGCCCCGGTCCATCCTTGCCCAGCTGCAAAGATGTGTGCTGTTTATTGAGAGTCAATGATCCCAATTTGGCAGGATGAGGCTAAACAGTTATGATAATAATGATACTTAGCAGTTATTGCCATGATGCTTTCATTAAACCGATTTAGAAAGCATCATTATTTTATTAAGCATACTTGTGTTTATTCTTCCATTAAACGAAGATTTGCCCATCAGAGCCCCATTAGTTAAAGGACGTGTTGCCAGCAGCTGCTGCTCCCAGAAGCATGAGAAACACCGAGCTCCTGACGGCACCCGGAGCTGGCTGGGAGCTGTGGAGGTGCCTTTGCATTGCGCATGGTGCCTGCGTCACCCACCCTCCAAAGGGACTTTCCTCTCCTGGGAGCCACATGCAGCCCCCACCCTCACCTCCATTTGCCCGCAGCTTGGCAGGGAGTTTGCTCATGGTGACACGGTGCTGCATCACCTCTCCTGGCCGTTTCAAGGGTGTGACCTTACACGACCCACTTAGGAAAAGAGACTGAGCCCTCAACAGTTGTTGGCATTGCCAGAGTTTCATTTCATCTCCTCGCATGTGTTTTCCAGGTACCCCCTGACCTGGTCCTTTTGTGCCTTGCTGCTCTGTGCGGCAGATGCCATCGAGCTGACGGACATGTTTGGGGAGATCCACTCTCCCAATTTCCCTGATTCCTACCCCAGTGACTCAGAAGTGACATGGAACATCTCTGTGCCCGACGGATTTAAAATCAAGCTGTATTTCATGCATTTTGACTTGGAGTCATCCTACCTCTGTGAATACGACTATGTGAAGGTGAGCTGTGGTATCACGGGGCAGATGGTGGCATAAACAGTCCTGTTTGGCCAGCTTAGAGGGGATAGTGCTGGAAAAGCTGGGAACAAGCTGGTTTTCCCCATTTATTGGGCACAGGAGTTGTCAGTCCAGTGGACAACGAGGAGAGCACAGGTAAGCTGATAATATCCATTGGACTAACAGTGAGCAGGACACCAGGTTCAGAGCTTAGCCACGGAGGACCAGATTTGTGAAAGTATTTGGGCACCTAATTCTCACTCAACACAATGGGATTTACACACCCATGGGCTGATGAAACCCCTGTGGCTAAACCCCCAGCCTGTGCCACTCTGATGCCAGTCACGTGCAAGGAAGACCCCTGAGTTGGGCACCCTGTGCCAGGCCATGGGTGCACCTTGCAGCCAGCCTGCATCCCACAAGGCTGTGGCTTGCAGGCTCTTGGGACACCCTGTCCACACCCCAGGGAAGCAAAAGGGAAAGGTTAGAACTGAGTTTGAGGCTGCAAATTGGGGTCTGCAAGCAGAGCCTCCCACAAGCTGCAGGGCACAGACCCAAAGATTCCTTTGGATTCAACCCATTTCATAGCTCAGGTACAAATTTTGGGGGCACTGCTGGCAAATACCTGCAGCACAAACGAGTTACGGAGGTTCCCCAGGAGCTGCCATGGTCAAAAGCACAACAGATTTCAGTTTGCTCCATTGCTGGGCAGTAACCCATCAGAAACTGCAGTGCCACAGAGCGTCCTTGTGTCTTGTACCACAAGTCTGTCCACACAGGGGTCTCCTTTGCATCCAGGACAAGCTGGGTTCTCCATATCTTTGAACTTGGTCAGGTTTGGTGCTTTCTAGCAGACCAGCAGTAGCAAGCAGGTGCTTTCTAGGCTTCCCTGGCTGAACATGCCTTACCCCATCGCCCAGCAGAAGCCTCACCCTGCCCCTCCGGTGGCAGGCGGAGGTTGCACCCAGGTCTGGAACTGCAGAACTCAGCCCTGGTGCTAGTGGCCAGCTAATCGAAATTATTCTTTTCTTCTTGCCCTAAGAAAACAAAGCAAAGATTTGGGCTTTTTTTTCCCTCTAGGATCTGTTGTTCACTGCTTTAATTTCCCCTTTGTGCTGGCACTCATTCTGCTACTAACAGCTCTCATTGAGGTTTGATTAGTTCTTTCTGCTTCTCCTGGATCTTCTCCAAGCACAAGGGCCAGGGACATATATAGAGATATATTGCTTTAAAAACCCAATAAGCTCAAGGAGCAAATTTCTTGGAAACTTTCCCCATTCCAAGCTTTACCCCTCCTCCCCCCCCATCCCCTGCTCATTTTTCCTTTTTCATAAGGCTCCCTGTTATTTGGCCATGGTGCCAACTTGGCACCATAGCTCTCCCTGCCGCTGGATTTCCATAAGAAGGCGGTATTTTTCACAGGGATTTAGATCTCAGCTGTCTAAATTTGCTCAGGGCTGTAACTCAGCTTGCGGAGCCTCCACCACAGAATTACATTTGAAAAGTGCTGAAAATGGATGGATTACGGGAGATCCGCAGGCTGCTCTGCTGGGTAGGGGTGTGATCTTGATGCTGCTAAACCATCAGTTTAGAAAATGTTAAGGAGAGCAACAAACGACTCCATGGCTATTTTCCTCCTTGGGTCTGTATGTCCATCCTCTGTCTACATCAGCGCAAGATGTAAACTCAGCTTCAGCCTGCTCTTTGACAGAGACCAACAGTGCATGGCTATAGAATATAATTATAGACCCAACACATACAGGTGCTTCTCTGTAATACTCTGCCAGTCCCAGTGAAGATGCTGAGAAAGCCACAGGTGGTATTTCTGCATTCGATGGCGCTCAGTGGATTCCCCCTCCACGAACTTGTACCATTGCTTTCTGAACTCATGGGTCACTTTAATTTCTGCAGCATCCTGTGGCAGAGAGTTGCACAGGTTAAATATACGATTATATGCCTATGAGTGTGTGTGAAGAAACACCTTCTTCTTTGTTCTGACCACAGGTCTGACCAGTGTCTCCATCAGGGTCTTCATAGTCTTGACTGCCATAAGAAGGAGGTCAAAATAGGGGCTGAACAGCCCCCACGCAAGGTGGGGACCCAGCTCAGGCCAGGCAGAAAGCCGCCATGCCCTGGCTTTTGCTTTCCTTACCTCCTTGGCTGCCCACGCGCCCGACCTCTCGAGCAGTGTAGAAAGTCATCCTGAGTGGCAAGCTCAGGGTGAGCCGAGCTGTAAATCCGCACAGATCTCTGCCTTCGGGGTGGTCTTCAGAAGGGAACAGTTTCCAGAGCTCTGAAACAATGGCTAATTAAAACAATAGCTGCTTATTTATATATATACACATATATGCGTGTGTGTGTATATATAGAAAAAGAACATGGCTCCTAAAGAAATGCTCACAGGCCAGGAGGCTTGTTTGTGCAGATGGGGATGGCAGAGAGGAGGAGCGGTACTGCAGCAAGGAAGTGAGCCAGGAGGAGCAGAGGAACAACCGCCCCCCAAAATACCCACCTGAAGAAGCCCCGTGCAGGTAGGAAGCACCAGTCACGTGCTGCCTCGGGAAGCCGAGCTCTGGGCCCCGGTGCATTGGAGACAGCCTCTCCCCGGGTTTTGGATGGCCGCCCTCAGCTGCCTGCCAGGTCCAGAGGGATGGGGACAGAGCAGCCATGCGTGCTGGGCTTTTGGTTCGCAGCCTCCACTGTGCTCCTCAGCAGCCTCTGCCTGGCTCATTGCTGTCCCAAGGCAGCTGATTTGGGGGTTCCTCATTTGCAGGGGGTCTCACTGTGGTTTGCTCAGCTCCTTTCTGGGGTCACCCAGCACTGAGCACTTGCACACAAGTCTCCAGCACTGGCCCAGAGCACCCTGAAAGCTGTGGCCGTGACCTGGAAATCAGGCTAAGTGACTTGACTAGCATCACTGAGGAGTGCAGTGGCAGAGGCAGGGAGTTGGGACATGAAATCCCAATGGAGAGCCAGAGATGGGAAATGAAATCCTGACCTCTGAGGGGCCTTCAAGAGTAAATCACTGAGCTTATTAGGGAGATCTGAGCCTGGGTCCTGTCCATGAGGTTTTGCACATCTCTCGGTCAAGCCTTGGAATGAAATCAGCCCCTGAGGGCTTGGCAGCCAGCTTGGGACCAGCTCCTTGATTGAAGTGAAGCTGGGGCCTGTGGTGAGAGGATTTCTCCCCAGTCACACCATGGCAAGTCCTTGCTGGCTCACAGTCCTTGTGGGGTTATGTCTCTCCAACCCAGTCCCTACCACTGAGTCGATTCCATTCAGGATGGCATGTGCTTGAGACCTGGCAGGTTTCAGCACATCCCACAGAGCTTTCCCTTCACTCCTTCAAGCCCAGGGGCTGTCTGTGATGGGTCTCTCCAACTGTGCATGGGGGCAGGAGAGCAGAGGGGTGTGCGACACTTTGTGTGTCCCATCTCCCCTGACATAACCCAAGTCTCCCTGGGATCCACCTCTTCGTGTTGTGTTCAGACTTCTGCCCACGTGTGGCACTTGGGACACATTTCTGCAGATCCCCACGGAGGATCTGTGCTCACCCAGGCAGGACTCCTACAAACCCCGTGTGTGGGTGCCCAGGAGCTGGCCAGGCATCTCAGGCTAAACCAGTGGCTGCAGATAAATTTGCTCAGGGGTGGCCAGGGGCCCAGCTGAGCGCAGGAGGCAGGTTCTGCCAGCCCCAGTGAGGGGCTGCTGAGGGGGAAACAGGGGTATAGGCCAAAATAGGGAGGCAGGGCTGCAGGCAGAGCATCAGCTTGTGCCACCACCCCAGGAAGCGGAGCTCGAGGAGGAGGATTATGAAAGATTTGCAATGTGATGGAGCCGCATCCCCCCGAGGTTTGGCACGGCGTTTAGGGTACATAGCAGATGCGCTTTGCACGCAGCATCCTCGGCTCACAGTGTGCCATCCCCTGCCACGGGTGATTCGCGTGGGGCAGGGCTGCATGCTGCGCCGTACCGAGCGCTGGGCAGCACTGTCCCCAGGGCCACCCTCGGTGCTTGATGTGGTGCTGGCAGGAGCCATGCAGGGCCAGGGAAGGAGCTCAGTGCTCATTCAGGGCAGTGCACGCCCATTCAGGGGCTGCAAGAAGGGTGCACAGGACCCATCTACACCTTCCTCTGCTCAAAGGAGGGGGAAAAAGCACAAATCAGGG